TATTAGAAAATGGAAGAAATACAAAATAACGGAAAATCTCCCTCGGTCTGGGGCGCCATGCAAGATCTCACCTCGTGGAGCATCATTGATCTTGAGGAAGGTGAGGAATGAGCCCAGAACTACACGGCAGGACCTGGTCAATGACCTGAATAGAGCTGGGACCACAGTCTCAAAGAAAACAATCAGTAACACTCTACGCCGTCAAGGATTAAAATCCTGCAGTGCACGCAAGGTGCCCTTCCTCAAGCCAACGCATGTCAAAGCCCGTCTGAAGTTTGCAAATGACCATCTGAATGATCCAGAGGAGGAATGGGAGAAGGTCATGTGGTCTGATGAGACAAAAATAGAACTTTTTGGTTTAAACTCCACTCGTCATGTTTGGAGGAAGAAGAATGATGAGTACAACCCCAAGAACACCATCCCAACCGTGAAGCATGGCAGTGGAAACATCATTCTTTGGGGATGCTTTTCTGCAAAGGGGAAAGGACGACTGCACCATATTGTGGGAAGGATGGATGGGGCCATGTATCGTGAGATTTTGGCCAACAACCTCCTTCCCTCAGTAAGAGCACTGAAGATGGGTCGTGGCTGGGTCTTCCAGCATGATAACGACCCAAAACACACAGCCAGGGCAACTAAAGAGTGGCTCCGTAGGAAACATCTTAAGGTCCTGGAGTGGCCTAGCCAGTCTCCAGACCTGAATTCCATAGAAAATCTTTGGAGGGAGCTTAAAGTCCGTGTGGCCCAGCGACAGCCCCGAAACTTGAAGGCTCTGGAGGAGATCTGTATGGAGGAGTGGGCCAAAATCCCTGCTGCAGTGTGTGCAAACCTGGTCAAGAACTACAGGAAACGTCTGATCTCTGTAATTGCAAACAAAGGTTTCTGTACCAAATATTAAGTTTCATTTTTCTGGTGTATCAAATACTTATTTCACACAATAAAATGGAAATTAATTATTTAGAAATCATACATTGTATTTTTCTGGATTTTTGTTTTAGATTCCATCACTCACAGTTGAAGAGTACCTATGATAAAAATTACAGTCATCTACAAGCTTTGCAAGTGGGAAAACCTGAAAAATCAACAATGTATCAAATACTTGTTCTCTCCACTGTATGTATATATATGTGTGTATATATGTATATATATGTGTATATATGTATATATATGTATACACACACAAATACTTTTTTATTTGATCATTTTAATAATATGTATTCTTTATAATTTACCAGAAACTTCAAAATAAATTCTTAAACTGTACCGAAACCTTTTTCAGGGTCTTACCACCAGCATTACCACCACTACTGCTATAGTGAGGTGCATGACATCAATTTTTGAACTCTGAACCCGCCCACTAGAATCGGTACTGAAAGTATAATGGAAACAACTCATACCGTGCTGAGCCAAGTCAAACTGTGCTGTACTGGTAATAATGTAAAAGGGGCAAAAGAGTGATGACAACAGTAGACAATCATAAAAAGCATACAAACTGAGAACAAATAAAAGAAATGGACATTTTAAAAACGAAACAAAAACAGCTAGGTTGTAAAGCTGTAGAAAACTAAAATCAGGAACATGTCTGCATTGGTGTCATGATTAGATGAAAGAGAGCTGCCGGAAAGATATTTGATGGTTTTCCAAAAATTTTTAGGATCATTCAGATCTTTGGAGGTCTGAGATAAGTTGTTACGTCTTGTGACTTTGATGGAAGTTGTACATTTATTCTGCAGCTGTCGAAAATGCAACCAGTCAGTGTCTGAGCCAGACGTTCATGTTTATTTACTTGTCAAATATGTATTTAACTTCAAACACATTTCAAATAACACATTTCAAATAATACACTTCAAATAATAACTTTTACTGGACCTTGACTCTATGCATGCGGACAATGTCTCCAGTCTGAAGGATTATGGGATGGTCCTCGAGCTTCTCACAAAAGATGGTGCATCCAATATTTTGTTTGGACTGGTCAGTGATTTTCAGACTGGAACAGAAATCTGTGGAAAAAAAAAAAAAAAAAAATTCCAGTTCTCAAAAACATCTCGATTATTATAAACCCCGACCCCCGAAAATCCAATAGTTCACGATTCATAGAAAAACAAACTATTATGGGAAGGTAAAGATAGTGATTTAATTTTACATTAATGTTTTCTTTTGGCAACTTTTTCAATCTAAGTTACGGTACACTAAAGATTGAATAGATGGATGCCCGAAGATCAACAAGTATCAAAGCATTATCCAGTTGAGCAACTGCATTTTCTTACATTTTTTTGAGCTGTGACTGTGGGAAGTCTAGTTGGAAGTAAAATCTCTAAATTTGCAAGAAAACATATACATTTTCAGCTGCACCATCCCTGAACTCTATTTACAACTCAGTGACCAATGAGCCCCGGGTCAGTATTTTGATCAGTAGGATCTATTTAAAGTGGTGCTTGACAGTTTGTGAAGCCTTTATAATTTTCTATATTTCTGCATAAATACCGGCATGACCTAAAACATCAGATTTTCACAAAAGTCTTAAAAGTAGATGAGAACCCAGTTAAACAAGTGAGAAAATATTATACTTGGTTGTAATGAACTGGACTACTAGGACCCAAAAATGCCACCAACACACAGAATAAAGCGTCTACAGGCTTTATTTTAAATGAAGACTGCAGCTCTGGACACTGGACCACATGGACTGATTGTAGATCAGAATCAGAATCAGAATCAGAATAAACTTTATTGGCATTGCACCGAGATACAACGCGAATATGTACGTACAGTCGTCCGAAGATGGGCGGAGTGCACGAAGCTGCGGCTAAAATAATCAGTGCGGCCTTCTTATTCTTATTCAGAATAATATTTTGCTTAGATAAGAAAAGGAAAGAAAACATGAGGAGAGACGGTATAAAAAAAGCTCTCTCACACCGTGTCCTAGACAGGGCACAATTTGAGGCCTGAAAAAAACCTACCACAGCAAAGCAACATAAACAGACGTTATACATGAACATATAGGCGGTGAAAACATTGAATTTTTAAGGGAAAGTCATAGCATAGTCCAGAGCCCCCCCTCAGCCATTGTCCAGATAAGAGATGACATTCATCTTCAGCTCAGTTGAGGTTCTGTCACATGTCCTTGGGAAAGGGAGGGGTGAGGAAACAGTCAAAGCATCTTTGTTGTTTTCCAAACATTCCAGGAGGAGTTGAGATAAGTCCGGCATCAAGGCCACAGTTTGGGTCAGGCAGAACTCGTAATTGTTGTTTCTGCCTTTAAAGTCTCGCTGGTATATATTGTCTGATGGAAACTCCAAAACAGCCAAACTGATCCTTTACTCCAAAAGTCGAGCTCACAGCTTTCTCCAAGATTATTCCACCATTCATGAGTGCTGCCAGGGAGAACACAGTCCTGATACAGCTGCTCCAATTCCCTGTCACAGCTCCACATTCAGTCCGAGCACTGTCAAGCTTCAACACCTCCACACGAATTTGTAGACAACCAGATTCCACCAACCCAAACTGTAGATTCTAGTCGTCATCATGAATCCAATTTTTCCTCTAGAGTTCAGAGTGTCCTCCTTACCCTGACTCCTGACGGGAGAAGTTGATTGATTTTGTTGAGAGACCAGCTGATCCTTCCAATTAAGAGGTATGCAGGAAAAAAACAAAGAGGCTTTTTAAGGGTTCACAGGACAAAAGAGTGCAGCAGGGAAGCGGGTGGGGGGGCAGAGAGGGAAAACACGTCTGGTTTCACCGTAGAGAAGCAAGAAAAAAAAATCATCTTTCTGAAGCAGAGAGAGACAAGGCAGGTCAGTTTTAGCTCAGAATGAGATTAGACTAACCTGTCAAGGTTATAGCAGACACAATGAGGACATCCCAGGAAAAGCGTGGTCCGAAAAATGGTCCAGATAAGTAATGAGATCTTCACTGAACAGATTAGAGAAATTGACAGGCAGAGCAGAATCCAGAGAGCCAGGCGGGGGTCCAACCATAAGATCTGGGAGCAACAACTTGGCAGACAAGGATCAGGCAAAATCAGGGGTTCAGAAGGCAGAAACGGGTCAGGTTCTTTTAGAGCTTGGTTTGACTTGGAAAAGCTGAATCTCTTTGACTGGAAGCTTCAATCTGGCACTAGTGCTGCGGCTGGGAAAGGCTTATACACAGCTTGAGATAATTAGACAGACACAGGTGAGCTGGGTTAAGTGATAGGAGTTGAGGGTAAGGAGACAAATGAAGAATGGAAAAACATAAATAAAAAAAAAAAGGAAAATCATGACATGAACAGACTCTAAATTGTCCCTAGGTGTGAGTGAATGTTTGTTTGTCTCGTTTGTCTCTATGTGGTTCTGTGATGGACTGGAGACCTGTCCAGGGTGTCCCCCACCCCTTGCAGTGATTGCTGGGCATGGGCACTGGCGACCCCAGTGACCAAAAATGGAAGAAGCGGGTAAAAGATAATGGATGGATGGATGACATGAACAGTCCAGATACATGAATCATGACACTTGGTCATTTATTTATTGAGGAAAATGATCCAATATTACATACAGTATATGTGAGTGGCAAAAGTATGTGAACCTGACCCAAACTGTGGCCTTGACGCCGCACTTATATCAACTCCTCTAGGAATGTTTTGAAAACAACAAAGATGCTTTTACTGTTTCCCCAACCCTCCCTTCCCCAAGGCCGTGGACATGTGACAGAACCTCAACTGGGCTGAAGATGAATGTCAGCTCTTATCTGGACAATGGCTGAGGGGGGGCTCTGGACTATGCTATGATTTTCCCTTAAAAATTCAATGTTTTCACCACCTATATGTTCATGTTTAACGTCTGTTTATGTTGCTTTGCTGTGGTAGTTTTTTTTTATGCCTCAAATCGTGCCGTCAATTCAACCTTTATTTCTACAGGTTAGTCTCACTGAGCCTCAAGGACTCATTTACAAGAGAGACTTGTTTTAACAAAGAACGATGACAACAGTAGGCAATCATTAAAAAACCAAATAAATTGAAAAATAGAAATTATATAAAAAACTAAATGGTAAATGGACTGTACTTATATAGCGCCTTTCTATCTTATTTCAAGATACTCAAAGCGCTTTACACTACAATCTGTGTCCTCATTTATCCATTCATACAGCACTCTACAAGATCTCTACAAAGCTAATTGAACAAATCATTCTAATGAGACTAATCAGTGCTTTATCACATTCATACACCGATGGGGCACAGATCAGAGGCTGTGAAGGGTTCAGTGTCTTGCCCAGGGACACTTCGACATGTGACTGCTGGTGGATTCGAACCCCCAACTCTCGCAATGGAGGACGACTGCTCTAACCTATCTCACTGATCTTCTGCAGCCATATGTCCCACCGCGCTCTCTGAGGTCAGCAGACCAGATGCTTATCTCAGTCCCAGAAACCCGTCGTAAGCTCAGAGGTGACAGGGCTTTCTCTGTTGCAGGTCCACGACTGTGGAATGAGTTGCCACTGAGTGTCCGGCAGGCTCCCACACTCTCAGTCTTTAAGTCTCACTTGAAGACCCACTTCTATTCTCTTGCCTTTACCACGTTGTGATTTGTTTTGGTCCGGTCTGTACTCCACACTGTTGGCCATTTTAGTTAGCTTCTGCTGCTATTTGTATCTGTATTTCTATTTTATGTTTTCCTGTCCGCTGTGCATGTTTGTTTTCTTTTGTACAGCACTTTGGTTGGCCTTGTTGCTGTTTTAAGTGCTCTATAAATAAAGTGGTATGGTATGGTATGGTAACCACTCAGCCACAGCCGCCCAACTAAACAAATCAACTACATTATAAAGCTATGTAAAATACAAAAAAAAAAAAAAAAAAAAAGAACAGGGCTGTATGAAGGTCTGCTCTTCACAACATGTTTGTGGAAGTGTATCATGGCACGAACAAAGGAGATTTCTGAGGACCTCAGAAAAAGAGTTGTTGATGCTCATCAGGCTGGTTTAATTTGAAATGCTAAAAGAGTTGGCCTTGTCTTCAGAAAGCAGTAAAAGCTGCGAAATCTAAACTCAGTTATTTGCTTCACTGAACCTTCACCTCTGGAAGCTCCAACTGAACTGTGTGAAAACTTTCTTCTTTTTAGAAAAAGTTGTGAACACCCGGGCACTAATTCCTCCACCAGCTAATGATCCATACATCTCATCTCACAGTGTAACCATATTTGATCACTTTGAGCCCATCTCTCTGTCTTTTGGAGCAGCTAACGTGCAGCATGAAACCATCTGGTTTCCTCTTTGATGTTGTCCCCCTTCAAATTCTAATGGAAGTCTTTCCTATTCTGGGCCCTCTATTCTTTATATTGTGAATAGCAGTCTATCCTCAGGTGTGGTGCCAAAAAGTTTCAAACATGCTGCTGTTCAACCTCTGTCAAAAACCTAACCTTGACCCCTCAGTTTAGGCCCGTCTCCAGACTCTCATTTGTTTCAAAACTACTAGAAAAAATAGTTGAGGCCCAGTTGAAACATTCTGTGGAAGATCATTCTAATTTAGACATGTTCCAATCTGGCTTCAAATCTCTCCACAGCACTGAGACGGCTCTATTGGAAGGTTTTTAATGATAATTTCCAATCCACGGATGCAAGTGATTCTGTGCTCCTTGTCCTATTGGACCTTACATTTGCTTTTGACGCCATCGACCACAAGATCCTCATTTTCAGGCTGGAGCAGTGGGTGGGCATCACAGGGTCAGACCTCAAATGGTTTAGATCCTACCTCTCTGACAGAACCTTTTGTGTCAACATCAAGGACTTTGGTTCAACATCACCAGATCTTTGGTGGGGGGGTACTATAGGGGTCCATCCTTGGTCCTCTTCTCTTTGCTTTATACCTGCTGCCACTAGGTGCTATTTTTCGTAAACATGACGTACACTTTCATTTCTACGCCGATGACTGTCAAATTTACTTCCCTCTAAAGCACAGTGGTGCACGTTCTATTCAACCTCTTCTTGACTACCTGGCCGACATCGAAAGCTGTCAATTTCTAAACTGGGCCCG